CGGGGAAATTATTCAGAATCAGCTATTGTTCGAGGGGTTCGGAATAATCAAAAGTTCTCGGGACCGGAATTAAAAGATAGCTGATTCTGAATTCTAAATAGCTCAAAAGCTTCCACTAAGATTACTTAGATAGATTCTCAGGTCCCATATGATTTTAATTGCGCGGCAAATTTAGGGGGGCCGCTGAATTAAAAGAGAATGGTGATTGTTTAGGGAGAGGGGGGGGACCTATCATTAAACAGGGTGCAACATTACAGTAGCTGATCAGGAAACATCTTCATGATATGGTTGATGGACAAAATCCTGCCTGACTTGGTATACCTCAATCCTAGTACATTTCATGGAAACTAAAAGTATGCTGAAGGTCATGCGGTTTGCAGCCATCAGCAGTAGTGAAGCGAATGAGGCCTGTCGTACATAGCCGATGGTGGCGGTTGGAAGTGGCCCTTGGTCCACCTGAGCTGCCAGTCTAATAGGAGTTCAACTGCCTACAGGCATAAAGTGGTCAAATCCCACTGGTCCAGAACAGTGAGAGTTGACAGAGTCTGAATTTGCCAAGATTGCCGTGCGTCAGCGGCTGAAACACTCGGCAATTACGTGGCTGTTACCAAACCTCTACAGCGCAAATACGGGAAGATCGGAAAGCCTGCGTACACCGTTCAAAATCCAATTGTTGCCCCCCCTGTCATAGTCCGCTCTGAGCAATCAGGCGAATTCCCCGTTACGGCATGATTCTTCTTTCTTGGAATTGTTGCAGCTTGTCTGGCAAGCTCAGATTCATTGGGGCTTTGGGGCAAAAGCTGAGATGAAAACCTGGATGTTTGCAATCTGCCCTGCCTGGTCGGAAACACCAAAAGATGCGATCAATGAACCCTTCCGGCTACCAAGCCAGATGGAGACAAGCAACGCAGAACTTGGCACGTCCGTTCACTTAGACGCTGGCTTCTTCAAAGAGGTGCTTCAGCTGGTGTCCTTCTACTCCAGGCGGCAGGTTCCGCACAAAGATCTGAGCAAGCGCGCTCACTGCAAGTGATGTGCAAATGATCAGCTCATCCGTCGTCGTTTTATCTTGAGGCATGCTGCCATGGGTCGTGCGATCACATCTGACATGGTCAAATATCGTGAACAAAATGATACCTTTCATGTCACCCAGCTAGGGTCAGAGCAGCGGAGCCCACGGTCTGTGGACCCTCAAACTGGTCGTGCTCCCAACTGCCATCTTGTCGTGCTGCTATCTTGCAAGTCCATACCTACTGCAAGAGGCCCCAATGCAGCGCATGATCGACTTTCCTGGCCCGACTAGAAGGCATGACCTTGCAGCCTTGCAGCCTTGCAGCTTGTGACCAACACATGGCGGCAGTTCTCTGGCTCATCCCAGTCGTACTGAGAATATCTGGGGAAGCCATTGTAGTCGGCACTTAGTCTATGTCTGCATGGCCAACAAACGATGGCTGACACTGACATACACTGACAACAACCGATCAACATGATGACATTGGCACAATCGGTGAAAAAAGTTTCCAAGGTGCTGGCTCAACCTCAACCATGAGCTCATACGGCCCATCGCGCCTCCCATCACACAAAAAGTTAGCTTGCAACGAAAAGCTTGGGAAATAGAGGCATGCGGCATGCCTAATTGCTTCTTAACCACCATAGCTGATGATGCTGATGCTGCAGACCGCGCCTGCCGCGAACTCGACGCACGGGACCAGGATTCTGCTCCTGTGTGTGGACATTGCAGATCATTGCAGGCATGAGCTGTCACAGCGTCAGTTCCTCCACGTCAAAAGCTCTCGCGAAAGCAGATGCTCGTGGGTTGCTGCCTGGCAGAACGCATGCAATGAAGGATAGAAGCCAAAGTGTCAAGAAGGGTCCTAACTGGCCTGCAGAGATTCTGTCGCTTCCAAGGCTGAGACCACCTGTGCTCGAGCTTGCCACATACACTTTGGAGCACTGCTCATGCAACCAAGCCTCCACTAGGGCTTGCTACTGAACCTGTCAGATCCAAATTGAAATCGAAGAGGGCTTAAGATGGACACTGACACTTCAGGAATGTCGAACCTCCGTACATGCGAGACCCTCGCCCTCGGACCTCAGGTGCAAAAAGTGCGAAGTCAGCAGCACCCCGATTGCTTCAGCCCAGCTTGCAAATGACATCCGGGCAAAACCAAGCCGAAGGCAAGAAAGCTGTCTGCAGGTTCCTGAGTCTGTGCTGGTGGGTGATCAGGTCTGTGGTGCACTGCCAGAAAACCAAAACACGAGACCGACATGCCCATTAGCAAGCTAAGCGAATCGCTGGTCTAGCGGGCACCACTGCTCGGACGCCCTGGTCGCAGCATGCCGCAGCAACAGGCAGCGAGCCTTGCAATGTGAATGCCACCGCGATCCTTGCCACCGCGGCTGGGTCTCTCTTGCACGCTCCTGACCTGAACTTCAGACTCATTCCAATTATCTGAAGCCTATCCTAAAAACTCACATGCAGAGACATGCAGAGGCTTGTGCTGCAGAGCCGAATAGTCGGCCGGACATGCCGCCTGTTGCTGACACCATCTCCTCAACGCGATGCCGACCTCGCGCCGGTCGTATTCAAAGGTAGCAACCATCACAAGGCCCGACAGTCAGCCTGCACAGCCTGCACAGCCTGCAGCCCGGAGATCAAAGGTCAAAAAGCTGCCTCTGCTCGAGCCAAGCGATCGTTCAGCATGTCCTGATTGGAGGAGGGCTGCGGGAGCTGGCAGGGTGGCGGCTCAAGGTCCCAAAACCTCAAGAAAAAGTGGTAAGCATATGTTTGTCACGTCATCAGTTATTGCCTCGTGAGCATGTGAATGCTGAAACTGGAATCCACTCAGCGCAATTTGAGTTCGCACTTCCTGGGCATCTTGAAAACCGTGCATACAAGCACAAACTACATGAGCTTTGTCCCCTTAAGTATTCCTCTGTTGCATCACTCAGATAGCTCATGATCAGTCCGGGCAGAGGCTTCCCCGGACTGCGAAACTGAGTTCCCAAAGCTAGGGGCAGGTTGCATCATGCCTACGATGGCAGATATCATCCGCCAGCAATAGAGAAGGGACAAACAGGGGGCTTGAAGCAAGGATTCTCCATGGTTCTCCACTAGCTCTGCAAAACATGTCTGCCCTTTGCAGCTGGCCCAAGATTCAGCCGGCCGTCAGTGGCCGTTGTAACTACTGCAGACCAGAAGCGCGCTCCATAAGGGAGGAATTATCTAGAACGTGCGGTGACTTGAAGCTAGCCGTGAGGGGACATGTTCCGCGTGAACAACTGGTCTTGCACATTGCCCTACCCCCAGCTGACCAGAATATCGGATACTTTTGCCTGAGCTCACAGTCTCTAGTTCTTCATCAGAACTGTCATCCGTGTTCTCCTCCAAGGCATCAACATCAAAAATTCCAGCACTTGAGTGGCGAATGACCTTTCGTCGTGACCTTGGAATAATGCTGCTCACATCCGTTCTCCCTTCTTGCACCAGCTGCTGCCGCGAGTCCAAGCGAACGCGCAGAATCGAGCTAATGCTATGCTGACGATCATCCTCCAGCGCAGCCTCTGCTTCTGCGTGGGCTTCTAGCAACTCTTGCTCGGAACGTGTCCCATTCCTCTCTTGATCAACGTCAAACTTGGACCTAGACATTTCGGAATGGGAAGAAATGTCACCCAGCTGGGATGCATCTACATCATAGAATGCAGGAAGACCTTGTTCGCACCGCTTGGGTTCTAATTGCCTCCCCATAAGCGCAACACTTGGGTGAGGTCCCTGGCCAGACTGCCAGTTAAGCACCAAATCAAGAATGTCGACGAGTTCGGGAACCCTTGCATCAGAGGACCCCGCCGGATCTGTCAAGCCACTGGCTGACATTACATCTTTCCAGAATGCGGAACAGTACATCGTCCGCTTGACAGCCGTACCGCATTGCTGCCACTCTTGGTACGGCAAGTGGCGCACGTGGAATCCCATTGCGCTCAGCAGAATGTGTTTAAGCAGGCTTGATGCGGTTCGCGTGTTCGTGTCGCGGTAGAAGTGCGATGGGCCGTCGATCTCCACAACGACCCTGTCCCCAATAACCATGTCAAGCATGAAGGGCCCCAAGAACACCTCGCTGCGGTGGTGCAAGCCAACGCGCGTGAACCACTGCGAGATGCGGCGATGTAGTCTACTGGAATTCTGCATGTAATCATCCACCACTACGTTTACCTTTCTTGACTTTGCAAGAAAACTCTTCAGTTCTTGTCGCATTGAATCGTACACGCTGGGCTCCAGAAGCCTCAGGTAGAGCTCAACGATTTGCAGCTGGTAGATCGCGGGGTAGTTCAGCTCTTTTCTGTGCTCGTTGGAGATGGCAAGCATGCTGTACAGCACTCCACTGTGCGTGTCAAACGGATAGCAGGGTGCATCTTCTTTTCGTGCCAGTTGCTCATGCCACCCCACGGCGCCCAGAAGAAGCATCCCATACGCAATGTTTGATGCATCCTTCTCGCTGAGCTCATGCTGCCGCTGGAAGAGCTCAAAAAGAATCGCATCAAACCAAGAATAATGTTGAATGCGAAGGTGCGCGTAACAAGCGAAGGCTGTTGTCAGCTGGCTGCCCGAGATCTCACTGAGCCTGGCCCTGACAACTGAAGCCAGCAGCCGAATGAACCTTGCATCACGGTAGTTCATCTCAGCGCAACCTACAAACAAAGCGCACGCATCGACCACATCCAGCTCAACCAGCTTAGCGGAAATCACTTTGACCGCGCTACGAATCACGTTTCGATCAGACACCTTGGCCCTTGCCATGCCACGCAGTAGCATTGCAAGGGCTCTTGGACTCATCTGCGGCACCCGTGACTTCGCAAATGAAAGGAGCTCTGTGTACATGGGCGAATTAACAATACCAAGCCTGCTGCAAGAGTTGAAAATATTGCACAGCTGGAACGTAGAGCATTGGCCTTGCAGCGCAGTGACCTGCCGCGGAACCCAGCGCACTAAGCTATGGAAGTTTGACTGGCTCCTCGCAAAGGCCGATAGCAGGATGCACAAGCCGTGCCCTGAAAGGGAAGGAACGTGCCCATCAGGAGCGACTACAAAGCCAGGCTCATCTGCAGTTGTCGGGGCTCCTGGCAATTCACCGGTCTTGTCTTTCATCTCCTCACGGCCTACGAATTCTCGCACACGCTGCCGGGTCATGTCGAAAAGTACAAAGTACAGCCTTTGATCCTGAACTGAAAGCCTGGCAAATGCCTGTGCAAGCCTCTCCAGCGGGCTCAGCGGAAAGCGATACAGGTCACTGGTGTGTTGTAGGCTCTTGCCAATTGTACCTCGGTATATCACCTCATCTGCCAAGCACAGGGTAAGCTGCTTGTTCTGGATCTGTAATCGCCCAAAAGCGTAACCCAAATTTCCAAGGTGAACAGGCTTAAAGCGATCCATTAGTCGAATGGAAGTGGCAGCAATCTTGTCGAGAAGCGCATCGTGCTTGAATTGCAGCTTGGCATAAGCGTGTGCTACCAGTGAAAGTCCTTGCGGGGCAAAGCTTGATATATTGTTCAAAAGTGCTATTGCAGCACCATCAAACAACACTGGATCTCTTGCACGAAGTTGTGCAAAGGCGTTTAGCGTGTTCGAGATGTCCTGCTCATTGTAACTATCTATCTGGGGCATGGTACGAGCAGAAATTGCTTTCAAGAGCGGCATTGCCCAAGGACCAGCCCGGATCTTGGCAAATGCATTGCTCACCATGGAAAGCTCTCGAGGCAAGAACGGATCTCCTGGACCAGCTGTGAAAGTTACCAATGGCACTAAGCGTGTACCTGCTGTTGAAAACATTTGCGAAACGTTGCCATGAATGGCTGAAGATGAGAAATCCAATCGCGCAAAAGCATTCAAAGCAACAGCAATCTCCCTTGATGTCATATCTGGAAGCCGCGTTGGAAAGGCTACAGCAATGGATTTCCACACTTGAAGATCTTGCTCTGGTTTGCGGCTGGTCTGCCAAGGAATACCTAGCAAAGCGTAGGTGCCAGCAACACAAGCCATATGTGACCCTTTCACATCCATATGGGTGTCAGGATCTCGCAATAGAGCCCCGAACCTGTGGGTCAACAAGCGAACAGTCTGGACTGAGCGAAAGCGTAATTTCCCATAGGCCCGCAGAACCTGCGCAACTTCGTCTGCAGCAAACGATCGAGACAAGAAGCGGCACTGCTTGTTCAGATGTCTGACCAGCTCTGTACTTGGCCTGCAGCACCCTGCAAGCAACAAGAAGGTCTCAGCAATGTCACAGGGCAGCAAACATCGAACTTCATCGCCGCTCATGCTCTCAAGCAACCGCCAGCTCTGTAGTAGTTCTTCTGCAGGGGCACCTGCCAAATGGAGCCAATGCATCGCACGTAGACTGCGCAGGAAACCAGCTCGTGACTTGAAAACATCTTTCTCGGCAATCGGGAGATCGTTCAGCATAGCAACTGCATGAACTGGATCTTCATGAGTCTGAGCCCACCGTTGCAGCACGCCAGTCTGTGGCTTGGATAAAATATCAGGTGAGGTCCAGTCAAGCGGAATGACGGTTATGTGCCGTAATGTCCTGCTGGACACGCAACTGATGTACCCTCTGGCTTTGGCAAAGGCATGGAGAAAAGGCTGAGCACAGGCCATTCCGGCAGCCTGCTCAGAAAGCTACCATCATGAGACTGCGATGGATAAGCGCCGGTGTCTTGAACCCAGGACCGGAAGTCACTTTCATATCACTCGTGCAAAGCAAATTACAAGGATGGGAAATGTGTAAGTTTCTGCCATCCGTTCTCAAGTAGAATTGGCATCAACCCTGCCGTGTAGGTGAGTAATGAACCCAAGAAAGCGAGGTCCCTTCCTGCCACGCTTTTTCCCTGTTGCATCCTGAGCCCCACTTCCAGTTCTGGAGAGCAGTCACTCAGTGAGCACACTGCACGACGAGGAAAATGTGAAGAGTGCTGTGGCCTCATGCGCTGAAGCCGTCAATCCTGTACCTTCGGCAAGTTGCTGCCGGTTGCGCTGCTACAGCGCATTACAGCGCAGACTGCGACACCCAACATCCAGCTGCCACCGCGCGCACTTCGTTTCGGGTCTCCGCTTCGTCCTCTTTTTGCAGCTCTCCCTCCACCTAGCACTGCTTGGGTAACCAGCAAAATCAAAGTAAGATGCATTTGAGTTCGTTTCGTGTCTAACATTTCATGCAGGGTTCGCGATACTCCTCGAGCAATCGTCAATGGACCTGTCAAGCTGGTTGCGAAAACTATCTGAAGCTAGGTTGTCCACGGTTAGTTCATGTATTCCTTCGGATGCCTGAAAGACATGCATTCTGCGCAGTCTGCTTAGGATTACGCCAGAATCTCGAACCCCAGCGTTGCCAAACAAATGCATACCGTCTCTGCTGATGCCAAGGCATCACAGCAAACTTGCCTCTGGTGGTTCTTTGTCTTCTTCCTGTGGCTCTTCCTGCCAAGATCTCATCCATGTTGCGAAATGCAATCTGTCACGACACTCACACAAAAGCTGGCAATACTTCGACCCCTTCAGCATTCCGCCGACATTTTGAAGGTCATGCGATCTACCCACCTTCTCAGGGCCATCTGTCTCTGACAGCAAGCCTCTAAGCAGCGTCAGCTCCTGCGCATACATCGAACGTGAAGGGCTGACAAGACCACAGCTACCCACCACATGCAGATATCCATGAAGATTGAATTCAACACAGCTGACGGTCTGTTCCTGTTGAGCATCTTCTAGCTTCTGCGTCAGCGTTTTTCTCTCGGACTCCAAGTCCTGTAGCGAGCTGGCAGCAGCTGAAACACTTTCAGACTTGCCGCCTGGGCAAGCTAGACAACAGCTTCCACAATGAGTAGTACATCTTCCAAGCTAACCAGAAATGCGACTTTCATGCACAGCCTACGTCCTCAGTTCGATATCTCATTGCACGCACACACACAAACAAATAAACAAACAAACACACACATGTACATGGACTTTCCAAAAGTCCTCAGCCAAGTCAAAATTCTCCACCTCGCAGGCTTTCTCAATCTCCGGCTCCAAGGCTTCGATTTTGGCCTCGAGTCTTTTGCGGGCGCGCGGCTTTCAGCAAACAACGGAACCAATCCGCAGGCTCTGAAACAGGATCGATCAAGGCCGACCTGCGCACCCTTCAAATTGCCAGCAGAACTTGCCCGACGCCGCCCCCCCCCGCGCACAGTATTGCCTGAGCCTGAAGCTCTTTAAGATAACACTACTTGGAAAATGTCTCACTGCCACCGCACATACCACAGAATTCCTAGCGCAAGCTTCTGCAAGAGCGGCGCTTTCTGGAGAACAGCTTATCAGAATTCAAATAACCCATATAGCCTTGAAGTCTTCAATCGCAGATTCAGCCACAGCAACTCCTTAGTGCAATGACAAGTCCAAACATCGCAGGGGTCTGCTAAAGCTCAGGCACTGGCTTTCGGATACGTCATTGGGATTGAGATCACCGCCTTCGGCCTACATGCAATTTTCTCCCAAGACACTGTCGCAACTCTTCCAAGAACAGCTTACAATTTTTGGAAGCAAGTTATTCGCCCGGGACACAGAGTCCTGAGCTGCCAAACATTGCCAACTGTTGTTCAAATGCTGACGTTGTGAGGCACCTTTTAACCCCGCAGTAGGAAGCCTCTGAACCTTTGCAGTCCATGATTGCGTAAAACACTTGATACTGAGCTGCCGTAATTAACAGTATAGCGGCAAATGTTGCTAAATGAGATTGCATGATATCGCAATGATTTCGCAACAAGAGATTACCGCACACAAGTTTCTTTCCTTTGTGCACTTGATGCGTCGCTGAATGTTCGCAGCATGTGATGTCGAACAGCTGAACGCGCATGAAGCAACAGCTGCTGAACGTAGCTCGCAAACAGAAGGGGTTGAACCACGCCATGAAGTTCAAGACACATTTGAGATTTGAGAGCCCATTGAATGCATGAAACGTTTCAATTGCGCTCACGAAGGATGAAAAATAAAGAACGCGCATCGCACTGTCACCTGCACTAAATTTAGTCATAACAACACGGACGACATTGAGCTTTGCACGGGAGCAGGGGCACGTGTTTCAAGCTTCGGCCCACGTTCTTTTTGAATCACGGCGGTGCTAGGATCCGGCCGCAGGCATAAGCCGCAAAGTGCTTGCATGTGCTGTGTCTTGGCCGCTACACAACCGAACTTGGCGGCGGTCATGACAATTTGTCTTGCAAACGGGAAACGGCCCGAAGGCCACTTCCTCCCCGACCCCCCTGGATTGCTTCTCGTCCAACACACTGACATCGCCACCACACAAAGCGTACCCACATACACCAAACCAGAGAGCTCTTGGTATGTTGGAAGCAGTTCTTAATCGTCCACTTCCTTCAGCGCAGTTGTTGGGCGCTTCTGATGGAGCTCAAAATCTGCATGCTCTGTCGTAGCCATAACCCCATCGCTCCAGCGACGCCGCAATCAAAGACAAATTGACTACACGGGCTGTACCTACATTGGAGGCGCGGCGTAGATATCAGATCATCATCTTCGGGAGCACGCTTCTATCTGAGCGTCGTCAGCACCTACAGGGGCGGAGCTAGGACGGCTCCTATGAAACATGGTTTCCATTGTGCGAGAAGAACGCGACTTTTGGGCTCTCAACCTTCAGGCAGTTAGAAAACCCAGACATACCCAGACCTTACAGGAAAACGTAGCCCTAAAACATAGAATGTGCGCAAGTGTCATCCCTAACACCTTGGCATACCTTGGCCATGCTGGGTCCTCTGGCCCAACAAGCTCAGGGAACACACAGCCGTAAAAATGTCATCCACAGGCGCAACCCAGGTTTGAAGACGTCCCGGTCCGAACCCATGTTGCCACTGGATTCCAATCTGCGCATACAAGCCCATCCCCCATTTGACCGCCTGAAGCAGTCATTTTTCATGCTAGCAAGCAAACAACTACAGGGGCAGCACGCTCATGGATAAGTTGCGGAACCTGCGAACAGCGAGCTACAAGTGCACACAAGACTTGCAGTATCAACGCAAACTTCCCTTTCCCCATCCTGCTGGGCGCTTGTCTCCTAAAGAAAAGCTCCAGCACAATAAATGAAGCTTTAGCACGCTTTAGCATCATCTTGGCCGCGTACCTGCGCCCAGTTAATTGGAGACTGTGAACCAAGTTAAAAGCCCCAACTCATCCCCCAACGGGCTGGCGCCATCCAACAAAATCCAACCGAAGAAAGACCGACTTTGCCCACTGCGCGCTTACCCTTGAAACGGATGTCAAAGATCAAGTCTTCACGCAGCGACGAAGAAAGCGATTGCTGCACATGTGCAGAACGTAAGCAACTTCCCAAGAGCCGCCTAGGCCGTCAGACACTGGGAAGGGAATGCCTATGTGATCATGCCACCATTTAAAGATTGAACGTGTGCCGCTCGCAGCAATAGGACCGCTTGAACATTGTGATCAGGCAAGCAGATTTTTGCAAGTCAGTTGACTGAATGCGTTGTACATCTGCCCCGCATGCAAGGCTTCCGTAGACACGCTCTGAAGTGATCTGAGATGATGGCTCAAGCAGACAAGTTTGCTCGGAACCCCCAAGGAACGTATTTGATGAGACTACAGCACTCGAATGAAGGTCGCCTATCACCATCAGTTGCAGCACCTTCGCCCAGCAGCGGGAGGAACTGAGCGCTGCTCAGCCGAGCAACAAGAAAGCCAGGGCTCTTCACAGCGGGCTTTCTCAAGCACTTTTGCAGTCCGCCATGCTCCGGTAGCGGATGTCACCACAGGCTGCGCGGAGGAGTCTCAAAGATTTCCTGCTCTGAAACCGCATGTAATCTGTTAGATTGGCTACAGTCTCAATGCCTAGGCCTCGCAACAAATGCTTCCGCCCATCATGCCAAATCTCCAAGATCGCGGAATAATCCATGACATCAAGGAAATCGAGGCAAAACAAAAGGGACACCTGCCAAACTCGAGCATCGCAGTTGCCACAGCAGGTGCGTTTATGTTCTTAAGAATGCCACGACACTTCCGAACCATCGTTGATTTGGTATGCTTGCACTCTGCATGTCCATGATAAGTGAGCCAGGTAACATCCGTTGCTCTTGGTCTTGAGTGCTATGTGGCAGAAGTGAAGAGTGGCCACCGAGCTCTACAACAATGTCTGAATTCTAAAGCTGACCATACATATATAACAACAGGTTAGATGAATTCTTCCCAGATCGACTTTGGCTGAATGTATGCTGCACATCAGGAGTTTTCATGTCAACACCCGTAAAACGTAAGGTACCCTACAGGATGCAAGTCTGTTGCTATTGACTTTGCAAGTGGCTGCAGCGAAGTAGACACGAGCTAGTCCTAGTCACCTGCCAGTCACGTAAGAGCGTGGAGTGTGACGTGGAATAAGCATGTCTTTGCCGCGGCCTGCGTATTCAGAGGATTCTGTTCCTCTGACTCTGCATTGCGGTCTTCCTCTTCGCACAGGCCTTCTGCTGAATGAATGCCTGAGTTTCCGGCAGCTTGAAACACAGATGCAGCGCAGGACTCCCTGCACATGCACATGCCTCGTGGTTCCGAGTTTCCGTTTGGAACCTGGCAACAGCCGCGCTGCACCATTTGGGACGTTTTCCGGCATAGAGCCTGGTCTGGTTCCGACATATCCGAATCGCTGGCAGGCTGGTCAAGCACTTCACCATCCTGTGGGGGCACATAGCCGCACACAGTGGCCATCTAATGACCGCAAATAGAAAGCAGTCCTGAAGAACCTCAATGGTTTCCTTTGGTATGTCTTCTAGGGACTCTTCCTCAATGCTGTACCTCACATCAGCTGAGCTTGCATTGGCTGAGACAGTCAAGTCCAGGAACTAGTTGACAGATTCGTTTGTACACTGCGTCTCGGTTACATAGCCGCATGAGCACGTGCCCACACATGCAATTCAGATTCCTGTTGCAAAGCTACAGTATCCTTGTGCCCAGTTTTATGTTGAAGTGGCAGTGAGAGAACACCAACCCACCCTGGGACCCCGCATTGGTACTCAGGACAAACAAAGAAGAAGGCATAATTAGCTGGACTTAGGAAAAGCACAGGAAGCAAGTTGCTTCTGTAAGTGCCTCCAGTCTTCTCCCCGAGCAGCTGCAGCAACCACGCTTCGGATGATGCCAAACAAAGTATTTTGGGGTGCCCGTCAACTCATTGTAGGTTGCAAGGGCAATTATGATGGAAATGTTTTAGCATTGGGCCAGAGCGTTTACAAGATGCCACCGAGTGCTTCGGAGCCTCACCTAAAGCGTTCACTTGTGAAAGCTTTGTCTGCATTGGCTACACCCTTCAAAGGATGATGAAGGAAGGGCTTTCGCCGATCAAGTACTGTTCGGTCGGACAAACTTGGTGAACGGCCAGACTGCACACAAGAACCAAGGCCGGACAGACTGCTTCCTCGTGCTTCCTCCACTACACTCAGCGTCTTCAAAGGGATCAGGATATGAAACTTGTTGTGTCGTCAAGCTTTGCGACGGATTTTAACAGCTAGAAAAGTGGGAAGAATTCTCCTGAACCGGCGATCTTCGCCAAAAAGGGAGGTAGCTGAGGCCATTTGTGGAACAAGTGCTTTGAACAACTCGCACATACTTTCAGGTGGAATGTTCGACAATTTTCAGTCGCAGGGTCACTTCTTGGCGAGATGGGCCTGTCAGCACACGACATCTCGTCACTTGCTGTCCATAATATCTGGCCTGCTGGTGCTTCAGCACGCTCACTTCCTGGACATAAAGTTGCCGCGCAGTAGCGCTGAGCGAGGAGGACTTGCAGAGGTCCTGACCAATAAGAAATTCTGTCACCCTACTGGGGCCTGCAGCTAAGTCTGCGCCGCACCTCCAAGTCTCTGACCTGATGCCTGAGCACCTACAAACACAACATACGATGTGGTGTTCAATCTGCTCTGTCTCTACTGCACCCCTGTACCAAGGCTTCAGCTCGAAGTTCCTCAATTGCGCATTTTCCTTCCACCCGGAGCAGCTCTTCCTGTTGAAAAATGCACATTTTGTGAGAAAAGGGAGAAACACAGAAAACCCAGAGTAGGAGTGAGTCAGGATTCTATTCCTGTTGTTACATACAGCGCAACAGGAGTCCTGAGCGTCTTGTTCGTTCCGTCTGCATGAAGCCAATTCTTCCCTGGCCGTCGCCAGTCCCGCCTCGACAACTTCCATCGAAACAAATGTGCAGGATTTCCTGGCGCCTTGCCTGCAAGGACTCCAGTTCGGCTTCGATCTTCTTCTTGCCTTCTTCCCTCCTGAACATCTTTTCACAGCAGCACCGAAATGAGCATGACAGGCACATTGACATGGTGCACCCAACAGCCCACATTTGATAATCCTCCGGCATGCTGAGACCCCGCCTTCGGATCTCCTCCGTCAAGCGACCTGCCTGCAGCGCATGGGAACCTAACGCATCCCTAGCAACCATCTGCACGCCACAGTCTCCAGAAGGCGCACAAGAGCCAACATAGAAAACCCTTATAACATGACTTGTTTTTGGAGTAGGCAGCTAGCAATATTGCGAACACTGAACTGAAATGGGGAAAGCAGCATCGCCAATTGCAGGCCCACACAAGTTTACCTAAAACCGTTGAGAACGGCTTTTCCTTGGACTGCGCGCTTTGTGAATGCGGAATGCTTGCGCTGAGTTTCTGATGCCTGTGACGCTCTTAGCAGAAGGTCGTCAGGTTGGTATTCTGAGTGGAAGGACGTGACTTTCATATAGTTGGAAACAAATGCTGATTTCAACTCAAAAGCCAGGCGGAGGAAAATGCATCCGGATTCGTTCGCACGAGTTTTCTAAGTTGCAAGCCCCTTTGTTTTGGTTTGCTGACATGCCCAAAGTGTGAAACTGTCGATCGCAACGTGCTGTGACGGAAAAACCTCGAAGAATCGTGGTCGTTGAGCTCTGATGTACCCAAAGTGTGAAACCGTGGTGATCTTGATGTGTCTCCGCGCTCGAAATTTGGACCAAGACTGGTGTCGACCCGCTCGATGACCGTGGCATGTCATGGTCGCTGTCCTCGCTATTGTCGTTGTTATTGGATGCTGACATCTTTGTCGTCTGTCTGCACATGCAATGGAATCAATGGAACTTGACACAAGCCGTGCTCTGCAGAAGCCACCCTATGGAGGTGGCAAGCCTCCTTGAAGCTTCGCGAAGCTACCGCGAGTTTCTTCTCTGCCTGAAGCTCAAATCTTTTCTTCGCTTCAGTCAGAGAAGATGGACATGCCTCCAAGCTCGGCAGAACTTCCACTGTCGCGTCAATTTGGCTGCGAAGCTTCGCAGCTGCAGCCTGCAAACGCAGTACTGGACTACACAAAGCTACCGCTGAGGACTGTGCATTTGCTGAAACTGTTCCCGCCACAACAGCTGATGATCAATGCATATCAAACATATCAACGCCTCCTGGCTGGCGGAACTTGTAGACAGCTCCATGCACCTTTGTGTCGTCTCCTCCCATTTCTGCCGAGCCTGACAGTGTCTGACAAAGAGCCTCCTTTCTACAGACAAAGCTGCGGCATATCATCTACAAATCGACATAAGTGGCCTAGGCATTGATTCTGCATAGCTTGTTGCGTTACTACAATAAGGTTGCAGAGTTCACAGGGCCTTCAGGTTATCATGATCTGGTAGACGTTTGTGGCAAGGTCCTGATTATCGTAAACGCCTGCTTCGCTCACCAAAACCCCCGCTTCACTCACCAACACTGCTTCCAAACAAAATACACCTGCTTCCACCACCAAGACCGGCGGAAATCTTCACCAAAGCAACCGTCCCGCGACACCACAAACAAACAACGGCACTGCTAGCCTGTCCTTGTCATACAGGGTTCGAAATGCACAACCAGCTTCAACATGCATACAGTACATGGAGAGTGTCGGCGTTGGGGGGATTTAGCGTCCGCGGCCACTGGCCCCACTTGACCCACTTTCCCAACTTGACCCACTTGCCCCCCTTGCCACGCTTGCCACCCTTCTCCCCCCATAATGTGGCCCCCTCAACGAGGCTCCAAACAAGCCACTTGAGGGCACCGAAGCGAACCCCTGCCCCACTTGACCCTCACTTGCACCACTTACTTATGAGGGGAGAAGTGGGGCGTTTGGGCCAGGTGGAACAAGCGAGGCAAGTGGGGTCCGTCCCACTTGCCCCACTCGCCCCACTTGCCCCACTTGACCCGCTTGCCCCACTTACCCCACACTTGCCCCACACTTGCCTCACACTTGCTCCACTTGATGCACTTGACCCACTTGCCCCACGTGCCCCACTTGCCCCGCTTGCCCCACTTGACCCGCTTGCCCACTTGCCCCACTTGCTCCACTAGCGGGGCAAGTGGGTCAAGTGGGGCAAGTGGGGCAAGCGGGGCAAGTGGGAAGGACGCCTTTAATGTTCCCCCCTGCGGTCGCAATGAGTAGTACATGACAGCTTGAGAGATGCT